ACCCATACCACCACCACCACCCACACTACCTCCCACGCTACCACCCATACCACCCACACCATCACCACCACCACCCATACCACCACCCACACCACCACCAACCACACCACCATCACCATCCACACCACCACCCACACCACCACCACCACCACCACCCCCCACACTACCTCCCACACCACCCACACTACCTCCCACACCACCCACACTACCTTTCACACCACCACCATCACTACTTCAAGGTAAAAAAAAAAAAAGAAAGATTCCTTTGGTACTAGGTCAAAAAGACGAAGTTGCAAGGGAAAATAACAAATGTGCACACTCTCTGAACCTAGAATTTCCACTTCTGAATATTATATATTTTTACATTTGAAAAATATATTTTCACATATGAAAATGGAATATAAATGAGGTTATTCACTGCAGCACTGTTGTTTTTTATCCGCACCCAAGGACATTTTTACATTTATCTTCAGATAGAGCAGGAGGGAGAAAGGGGGGAAGAGAGAGAGAGAAACATCAGTATGAGAGAGACATATCGAGTGGTTGCTACCCACACGACCCGAACCGGGACCAGGTATGCGCAACCGAGGTATGTGCCCTTAGTGGAAACGCAACCGAGGTACGTGCCCTTAGTGGAAACCGAACCCAGGACTCTCTGGTCTGCGGGCTGACTAACTGCTGAGCCAAATCGGCCGGGGCAGCAGCACTGTTTTTAACAGCGACAGACTGAAAACAACCTGAGGGTCCTACAAGAATGGGAGCCCCAAGCAACCTCAATGCCCATCCACAGTATAAAAATAAGTTGTGGTTTATCCATACAACACAACCATGTTCAGCAAAAGATTCTGCACTTCATGTTCCCCTGTATAAAACATTCAAATACGAGCAGACCTTGTGTCTAAGTTGAGGAGTCAGGACCAGTGCTCACTTGGAGCCTGAGAATCCCATAGTCCTGGCACTGTTCTCTTTACTTGATCTGAATGCCAGCTGTGTGTAACCTACAGAAACTCACTGAGCTATGTCTTTATAACTTGCGCACATTTTTGCATGTATATTAGACATTAACATAAACTTTACCTAAGGGGGAGAGAAACAGCAGGGAAAAAGGGGGGAAAGCCCAGAAAAATCCATTCACATTGCTCTTGGGCAACCAAGGAGTCTGGATATACTGTCAATACTGAGTGACTAATGACAACAGAAAGGATCAGCTCTGTAATCCAAGGTGTGCCTGCTGTCGCCCTGGCAGCCACACCCCAGGCCCTCCTGACTGCACTGCACCACCAGGTGATGCTCACTGAAAGTTTGATAATTCCTGTAACTTTTTCTTTCTCCCCCCACTATCCCTCACCTCCTCTGTCTGAGATCATGTGTGAACAGACATTCAGAGACTGTTTATTTATAAAGCAATAGCTGTTTTGGTTGCTCTTCTCCAGGTATTCCTTCAGTATGGACACCTGGGCATCTCCGTCAGTCCACAGCCCACTGCCTACAACGGCTTCTCGGTTCAAAGCCCACCTCAGGAGCTGTTCCTGTGATGTTCTCTGCTCCCAGGGTGTTTGTCTCCCGCTTCTCTGGGCGCCCCGGCACTGCCCTGTGTCTCTTGCATCGCACTGACGTCTTCCTTCCTGTTGAGCTGTACTCATCTTCCCGGGTGAGCACAGCAGACCAGAGCACAGGCTCTGGAATGAAAGCCTGTCCTGATCATCTTTGACCTCGGTGTTCAGTGTACACATGCGACACGTGGGGTGACGGGCGTGGCCTCGAATAGCTCAGCTGCGTGAGGAGTCAGCGAGCATCCTGCAGGGTTCGCAACTCGGCCCGGCTCCTGGGGAGAGCTCTCAGAAGCCTTAGCTGTCACCCTCACGACTGCTGACGGCTACTAGTCCCCTTATCCACAGTTTCACTCTCCGTGGTTAGTTATCCGTGGTCAACCGTGGTCCAAAATATTAGGTGGAAAACTCCAGAAATAAAACAATTCATGTGTTAAATTTCATGCTGTTCTGAGTAGTATGAGACACGCTGTCTGTCCTGCCTGTCCCCCTGCGCCGGTTCTGGGAAAGGGGAGAGGAAGCTACCATTCTTCCATCTCCTCTCGTTCAGACTGTCATCTCGCCAAGGCTGCACTCTCATGGCTGGATGTGGGACAGGGAAGGGGAGGAGACCAGGCATGGTGACAGCAGAGCCAAGCCAGGGCCATGCATCCCTGGGGATGCGCTGCGAAAGGCAGGCAGGCAGATTGTACGGGCTGTCATGATCCGCTGGGTCCAGCTGCCCGTGACGGGCCAGGAGACGGCAGTCTCCCAGCCACCATCTCGTCTCTGGGCTCTGGCCTTTCCTGTCTCTCCCTCCACGGCCCACTTCACCCCCTCTCCTTGCCAAGCCCACACTGACTTCATTTTCACATTTGTACTCATTATACCCATGATCCGTTGCTGCACTTACCACTTGCTTAACAATCACCTATGTGGCCATCTCTTTCATGAACCTGTGTGCCCGGGGCCAAGGGCTGGGTCCCATTCATCAGGTAGCCCCATGGCCTAGGTGGGCACCTGACACATGCTAATGCTTAGTTAAGTGTTGAGTAAATGAGTGCTTGTCCATTGTGACATATGGACACCCTCCAAGTCACATATACAGCTATGTGACGCTAAGGGTCAGGGGACTCTCTTCCTGCATGAGGGTGATGGGTAGAGAGGTTGGAGGAAAGAAAGGTATTTTTTAAAAAGTGAACGTGGCCTTAGCCGGTTTGGCTCAGCATTTAGAGCGTCGGACCAGAGAGACCTGGGTTCGGTTCCCACTAAGGGCATGTACCTCGGTTGCAGTTTGTCCCTGGCCCCAGTTGGGGTTGTGTGGGTGACAACCAGTCGATGTGTCTGTCTCACATCGACTATTTCTCTCTCTTCCTCCCTGTCTCCCTCCCACTCTATCTGAAGATAAATGCAAAAATGTCCTCAGGTGAGGATAAAAAGGTAAAAAGGTGAACATGAAATAGCTGACTTGTGAACATAATTTCTAATCAGGTAGGTAGGTGTTCCTTCTATAGCTAAGGGCAAGGTGCAGAGGAGAACCCAAGGACTGATCGTCTCTGGTCACCTGTGAGCCTGAGGGTGAGTGGGGAGCAGGTGCTCAGGAGATGCCTGAAGTGAACTGCTAAGAACCTTTTTGGAGGTGAACGTAAAACCTGGATGACAGATTTGACAAAGCATTCCAGGAGGGAATGACGACACATGAGAATGTAAGAACTCTGTGTGGGAGGCTTGAGAAGCAGCTGAAATGAAATGGATGATCCTGAAAGTGAGACTGAAAGACAGGCTGATAAAAGGGAGCGATGAGGACTCTGGAGATGCTTGTGTCAAGGGCTGCGCGGAGAACGCAGCCACTGAAACCCCGAATGCAACAGAATCAGGTGGAGAAAATCTGGCAGTGGGGAGACTATTTAGAAAAGTAAGGCGCCCTGGCCAGTTTGGTTCAGCGGTTAGAGCGTCGGCCTGCGGTCCGGAGAGACCCGGGTTTGGTTCCCGCTAAGGGCACGTACTTCGGTTGCAGTTTGTCCCCGGCCCTGGTTGGTCGTGCGGGTGGCAGCCACTCGATGTGTCCCTTCACGTCGATGTTTCTCTCTCTCTCTCCCTCCCACTCTATCTGTACAAAAAATGGAAAAATATCCTCGGGTGAGGATTAAAAAAAAAAAAAAAAAAGTAAGGCAATTATTTATAAGTTGCTATAACAGCTACCATTCCCCAACCCTTCCTCCTTAAAAAGAAAAGGCAATTTCATGATCACAAAGAGGCCACATTTTTTATTGACAACTCAATCACTACACACATTCAGTATTGCACAAATTATAAGTGGGATGACAATTATATTAAAACAAACTCATGGGCACAAAGCTATTGCTTTAGGCTTTGGTGCACTTTGTGACAGGTATCGTAGTAAATATGACAAACATCAAGAACTCAGCTACTTCAGTTCATAAGAATCAGCTTTCAAAAAAGCATATGGCAACTCATAAAACACTTAATATGTCAAAGCCAGGAAAGTCAGTAATTAAATTACAATAGGAACACTGTTAAAACGGAAAATTGGTGATAAAAATATTAGGTTAAAATATTAGATGTAAAAATTTTAGCAACTGGACTTAGGATCCAGAAAGTGTGTGCACGTGGATAATTTCAGAAGACCGCGTTCTGCTTTACGATCACTACCACACTCCAAACCGCTGTTTCTGGGTTGCTACAATGTCTTCCCTGCTGGTAAAAACCACTGCTTCCTACTTCTAAAGAAGCAACAAGGCCATTCACATAAAGGGGTTTAAAAGTAAAATTCTTCTCCCTCGAAATAAAGATATGATCTCCATCAAATTATACAGAAATCTTATCACAATGTCGATCAAATGGACAGACAGACTGTCTGTCCATTTACCTTCACTGCTGCCTTAGAGTGCCGGGCTGGCGTGTCACCTACACAGGAGGGGAGATGGGAGTAGTCCCCACTCTGCAGTGTGCGGGTGGACACAAGCCTTTCTCCTTCCCCGGGCTTTTGCTTCCTCAGATACAGAATTGAGGGGGTGGGTCAGATGCCTTGTAAGAGATCTTTCAATAAAAGGATCTAAGTCCAGTTGAGATCCCACCTTGGGCAGATGTTCAGAGTGGCAAAAGAAATAGATGAAAAATGGTGGTGAAGTATTTCTTACCTTTTGATGCCATCGCTCAAAACCATTCTGCAGGGAAGTTCATGGAAATCTTTGACACTTTCATCTAATGGCTGATGCCGCTAAAGGCTGAGCAAATGAGGCACCTGACAATGAATTTTGGATAAAAATGTAGAAAGGCTGCCCTGGCCAGTTTGCTCAGTGGTTAGAGCATTGGCCTGCGAACCAGGGAATGCCGGGTTCAATTCTGGCCAAGGGCACGGACCTCGGTTGCGGTTCGTCCCTGGCCCTGGTCAGGGTCATGCAGGAGGCAACCAGTCAATGAGTCTCTTTTACATCGATGTCTCTCCCTCCCTTCCTCCCACTCTGTCTGAAGATAAATGCAAAAATATCCTCAGGTGAGGATTAAAAAAAAAAAAAGTAGAAAAGCCATGCCAAGCTTGTATAGAAAAACAGTGCAGCCACCACATCAACCCAGCAGGACTTCTGCCTCTGAATTTTAAGAACCATTGATCTGGCCTGGAGAAGCACATTCAAACTGTTCAACAGAGAACTAGAGAGTGCACACCTATTAAGAATGTGCTTCCCGAAATCCTCCCAGTTAGGCACCTTCCGTACAACTGTTTCTAACAGAAAGGATGCAAAAGAATTAAGTGCAGGGTAGGATTTTATTTCTTTACAGATCTGAAAAATGACCCAAAGACAGTGATGGCTTCTCACCTTCTGTCCCCTAAAAAGAATACAAATATCACTTCTGAAATCTAACACACTGGCTTCATTTCCACAATGTATCAGTTTATTTTCCTCCTGAGGCAGCCATGCATTATCAGCCTTAAGCCCGTGACAGTCACACGATTTCTTCAGTGAGCCGGGGCTCCCACCGCTTTCCTGGAGCTCCCGCCACAGCAGTCCTGAGGCGTCAAATATTAAAGCTTTCTCCACAGCCACATGTTCCTTTGATGTTTGGGTTGTTGAACACAAACTCACTGGATAACTTGTCCTCCACATAGTCCATTTCTGTTCCTAAAAGTGTTAGCTGTGCTTTCTTTTCGATGAACACTCTGACTCCTTGGGGAGAAGAAAACACGTCATACAAAGCCTGCATAACAACAGAACCTGCTGATTCAAAGCACAGGTAAACTTTAAACAGTAATCACTAACAAAATCCAAACAGGAAGCTTTTGAATCTGTCTCATTATTTCCTGTCCCCTCTTTCTACACCATGATCTATGTAAAAAACAATTATATTAGATCTGTAATACTTCCAACAATAAAGATAAACTTAAAAAAATACACACAATCATATTAGGTCAGAAAGTTGTACACAAGCAAATTCCATGTAAAACGAGAATTCGCCTTTCACTGTATTTCACCCATTTGCCCAATTTGCAACATAAAGAAAATGTGTATATTCTCAATGAGAGTTTTGTAAAAATGGAGCCAATGCATTTATGAAATCCCTGCAGTGCCACTGTATACATGACACACTGCCACACCTAGCGACACACGAAGGACTGTGGTACAGTGGCTGGTTTACGAAGACGCAACAGTTTTGTTCTTCTGCGTACGGGCTGGAAAACTGTAATAACATAACCCATAGTAATTATGTAGGCAGAAGTCAGCATTTTCATCAGTACTGTCAGTTTAAGAAAGCTTTCTTCCTTATAAGAAACTGAGTTATTACTTAAATATAAACAATACATATTTATTAGATATCCTCAAGATAAAAATTTAAGATTTAAATTTATGTATTGATTAAAAAAATAAGATATTAACGAATATCTTTCTTGGTTGGTAACTTAAATTTAGTAAAATAAACTTACACTACGAATCCAGGAAAACTAGCCAATAGCACACCTCCAATGCACAAACCAACCACTGCAAAACCCGTGTACACTGAAGTTCCCCCAAAGTTGTAGCACTGTTTATTTTGTTTTAAATAGGTTTAATCAGATTATTGCATAGGGCAGGCAGTGGGAGAAAATGTAATTAAGAACTGAAAATTTTAATTTGGAAATTAAAATTGCAACTATAGAGCCTCAAAAGCATGAGATGACATTGCTCATTTGACATATATGTAAAACTGCTATTTCACACAAAAGTAGTTGGTTTATTTTAAAGTTTTATCATCTTAAAAACTTTATGTAGCGCCTGGCTGGTGTGACTCAGTGGCTGAGCGTCAACCTGTGCACCAAGAGGTCACAGGTTCGCCCTGGCCGGTTTGGCTCAGCGGTTAGAGCGTCGGCCTGCGGTCCGGAGAGACCCGGGTTCGGTTCCCGCTAAGGGCATGTACATCGGTTGCAGTTTATCCCTGGCCCTGGTCGGTTGTGCGGGTGGCAGCCACTCGATGTGTTCCTTTCACGTCGATGTTTCTCTCTCTCTCTCTGTTTCTCTCTCTTCCTCCCACTCTATCTGAACAAAAAATGGAAAAATGTCCTCTGGTGAGGATAAAAAAAAAAAGAGGTCACAGGTTCAAGGCAACGCCTGAATTGCGGGCTCAATCCCCAATAGGGGGTGTGCAGGAGGTAGCCTGATCAATGTTTCTCTTTCATTGATGTTTCTATCTATCTCTCCCTTTCCCTTCCTCTCTCTCTCTAAAGGAAAAAAAAAAAAAATCAAATGTAAACACTAAAACCAATATAATACCATTAAAAACTTAATGCGCACAATGATAACCTTTCATAATTGAAATAAACAAGTTTATCCAATAATCTACCAGAGCACAGATTCTGGAGTAACTCTGATTGGGCTCAAATGTTCACTAGGCCACTTACTAGCTCTGAGACCTTATGCAAATTATTTACCCTCTCCATGCCCCAGTTTCTCTTATCAGCAAAGCAGAGACAATATGGCACCCTTCTCATTGGCTGCTGTGGATAAATCAGTTAATGTACAGAAGTCCCTAAAACCATGCCCACCTCACACTGAGCACTATATATACTGTTCCTACTATTATTACTCTTCATGCTGTGTAAGACTAAACATTTTAAGCAAAACAAAGTGCCCAGAAAATGTTTGTTTAATACTCACCATCCTGAACAACTTCTTCATCAGAATCTCCTTTTGTCTTCGTATATTCAAGAGTGTAAGAAAGACCATTACAACCCCTGGTTCGGACACCAACTTTCACACCTACCTGAAAAATAATTGTAAATATAAACTTAGTTTTAAAATGGTACAGATTAAACAATCATATTGATAAAAGTCCTGGCTATATCATGTCACTCATCTCTTCATAAGCTATAAGATATATATATTCAATTCCTGGCTGTAAAATAGCCCTTTAGGAAATATAAGTAGAATGGGAAGCAAGCATTTAAAAAATTTACCTACTGTACAGACATCATTATGTCACTGGGGGTGACTCAAAAGGAATAAAAATCAATTATATACAAAGAAAACAATGCGGGGGGGGGGGGGGGTAAGGCTCACCCAAACTGCAGTCATTATCACCCTGAAAACATAGCTTATATGTTTTTTCCTATTTTCTTCCAGCCTCATATATATAATCTAAACATAGTTTTTATTACAGGAGAAAAAAATTTTTTCTCTGCTTTGTTTTTTTCACTTAAGACACTATCTTTCCATGTAATTGCAAGTGACACCTACATAATATTCCATTATACCAATGCATATTTATTACTTAACCAAATACTAGCTATTTAGGGTAGGAGTAACATTAAGGAAAGAGTTTTAGTTCAAAAACTGAATAACTACTTCAAAAAAAACACACAAAAAGTTTATGATGGTAGAGATGACAACCTATAAAAATGAACTTGCTCGAAAACATTTTTGTTTCATCTCATCATGTCAGATGTTCTCAGGAAGTTTCTCTATGATGAGGTTTGCCAAGGTGTACAGGCCTGGCAATCACGCTGCCTCTGCAAAGGGCTTGAATCTATGGCAGTCTGTGTAAACATTCTCAAATACCAGAAAGCAAAAGGCTGATGCCAACACAGATGTAAGAAATTGAAAAAGTGATCAAATAGTACTTTTAAAATACCAATATCTGCCTTAATGTAATTTTTTATTCTTGGATCCTATCTGCTTTTTCATTTACGTATACGGCAAAAGCATCATCATAAAGAGCATTATTTCACCAAGCAGATCCTGATTCTCTGAAAAGCAGCAACGTGTGCTTGCTTTAGGAAAGCTATCATGAAGTGGGAAGACACTGGTGCAGAGTGAGAGTTAGAATGTTAAGCTGTCGGGGATTTTGAGAGCTGAAGTAATCATAGTAGTCTCTTTTGTCCTTAAACAACAGCAAGGAGACTGAACTAAGGTTTTATTCACCTTCAGAGTGACAGCTTAGGAAGCCTAGGAGGGAGTTTAACATATTCAGCATGATAAAAATACACAATGAACTGCCTAGCTCAAATTCTGGAGGTCAAGTCTTAAGCATTTAACTTAGCTTTTATCTTTGTGAACAGAAGACTCAAGCAAACAGGAAGTCCCACTATCAGAATGGATCTGGACACTTAAAGTGTATGTGAAAGTACAGCTTTAGGAAACTGGAATTTGAAAAAGGGACTGCTTTAGAGCTGATGAAGTATTTGCGCAATCCTTTTCACATCAACATGAACAAACATCCCTCAAATCTACAAAGCGAAATTTTTGTTTCATTTCGTCAATTTATACTCCAGTCATGAGTCTATCCAATTAAAGTTGGAACACTGACACATACTTTAGCATTTACTAATTCTTAGAAGGAAGGTGCTAGAACTCCCATTATAATGGGACATTGTACAATGGAACCTAGAAACCACTCTAGTCTAATCACTGAAAGTTAATAGTCTTGGAAGTAATTTACAGTATTCCGTAGGCAATTAGCAATGTACTCAGATTAAGATGATGCACACACCCTTTACTCATCAATTCTACCTAGGAATGTAGCCTCTCTAGATGTGCTAAGCTACACTTATCAGCCTAGAACAATGCGCCTGACACAATACAGACACTAAATATTTGTTGAATAATGTTTGTGGCAGCACTGAATGAAAACAACAAAAAAGACCTTTAATATGGAGGAATGATTAAATAAATCAAACCTGTTCAATAAACTATATTATTATATGCAGCCATGAAAAAGTATCAGTTGATCTTTATGTATTTGAAAGATCTTCAAGCTATTTTCTTAGGGACAAAAAGCAAAGTGTAACCACAGCATGTATGCATGGTATGCTCTCATCTAAGTAGGGAAAGAGACACACACAAGCTTAATAAGCAGAGTTGAGGCCAGTGGTTCCCCTCAGGGAAATATTTTTGGTTGTCACAACTGAGGGGTGAAACGGGGTCACTAAACATCCTGCAATCCACTCCCAACAAAGAATTAGGCAGCCCAAAACATCAACAGTGCTGAGGCTGAGAAACCCTGGTCTAGCATATAAAATATACAGATTATCTCCGAGAGGACACTAAGTAGTTGCCTCTTGAAAGGGAGAATGATGATGAAGTATCTAGGGTAAGAGAGTGACTTCCTTTTGAGTATCCTGTTGCATTATGTGAATTTAGGGACATTTGAGATTTTGCTCCCTGGCATATGTTGATAGCTTGGCTCAAATAAACTCTTATAAAAATTTTTAAAATCCATAAGCATAATTTACTTTTAAAATAAAAACCCCTAATTAATGAAAGCATACTGTTTATCACAAGATAAATTCATTGTGAAACTACAAGTTCATTTTTTAACTAAAGCATTTGATTGGTTTTACTTACGTGTTCAGGCTTATCTTTAAGAAGTTGTTTTATCTTGTTTACTGCTGAAGGTGTCTGAAAAAGAAAATGTTATTAAGTTTTTAGCTACAAAATTTGCATTCTTTAAAGCCTTGCATTTTCTAGTCTTTAAGACTACTCAAGTCTACCTGCAGCAAATTCATGTGATAAATTTATGTTCCATTCTCGCCAAAGTACTTTGTATATTTTATATACAAATAAACGAACTCTAATAAGTTAAATTCATTCTTTGTTTTTATTTTATTTTATTTTATTTTTTTTACCCTCACCTGAGGACATTTTTCCAGTTTTTGTTCAGATAGAGTGGGAAGAGAGAGAAGGAGAGTGAGAAATATCGATGTGAAAGGGACACATCGAGTGGCTGCCACCCACATGACCCAACCAGGGCCGGGGACAAACTGCAACCGAGGTACATGCCCTTAGCGGAAACCAAACCCGGGTCTTTCTGGACCGCAGGCCAATACTCTAACCGCTGGGCCAAACCAGCCAGGGCTTTATTTTTTATTTATTTATTTTAAATCCTCACCTGAGGATACAGTTTTATTGATTTTCAGAGAGAGAGAGAGAGAGAGGAAAAAGAAACATTAATGTGAGAGAGAAACATCGACTGGTTGCCTTCCACATGTGCCCCAACCGAATGTCGAACCTGCAACCTAGGTATATGCCTGCAAAAGGAATCAAACTCACAACCTTTTGGTGTATGGGACAATACTCCAACTGAGTCACCTAGCTGGGGCTTAATCACTCTCTTTATTTTTAAACTATCTTCTAGCAACAGCCTTTTCATCTTGCTCTCCCCAGTGAAGGTCCACTCCCTGTCATAATCTCTGTGGTACTATCTTCTTCCACCATAACTTAATTTTTGTAGGGAGCAGCTATTTTGTGCTCCTACTGTATGCCCAGCAATAAGCATCTGTCTGACATATAGAAGGCACTCAATAAGCCAATGAATGAATCAAGTACCTCACTGGAAAAGCCAACCTTCAGGCATTTTTCCTGTTGATTATTAATATTAACCACACTGCTCTTTTTACTTACCCAAAATCTATATCAATCCATCAAAATACCTAGAAGAAAGAGTGCTACCAGCATCAAACAACCCAGAGTGTGCCTCCCGTCCTAGTCCCACCAAATGTTCATCCAGATTCTAAAGTTGGCTTAAATCAGTATTTCAGGGTATCTGAGCTAGTCAACAACAGAAATAAGAAAAGGGAAGAGTTTTTCGGGAGAAATGCTTTTAACCCAGCCTAGCTATCCTCAAAATAAAAATATCACAACGTATTGCATATGTATAAGTCAGCATCACCAACCCCACTTTCTCGAAAAGGAGGCTGTTAGGGACAAAGTCTGTTCCAAGGTATTAGTGGTCCAGCTCCCAGATATGTCCCAGCCCATTTCTTGGCTTAAATGGGTATAAGAGTCCCTCCTCCTCAGGATTCATGAAGGAGCATTTAGAACAGTGCCAAATATAAGCCAGCTGTAGTCACGATGAACAAATCATGTCCTTTGTATTTCATTAGCTCCTCTATCTGGCAATGCTGTGCTGATCCTCAGCTTTTTGTACTGGCATTTTCCTCATTTGTGAAATCCCAAAGAGTGGACATCATGACCTGTGGCTGGGTAGTAACTGTAGCCAGAACTCAAGCCTGTGCGGAGGTAGCCAGACCCAGTGGATGGCCCCACATTATGTTCTTCTGCTTCGTCTGGTGGGGGCTCACCCAGATGAGCATGGTGAAGCAAAGTCTGACCCAAATGAGAAAGGTCATGAAACCAATTCAGGTCATTTTTTAAAAAACACAAAATAGAGAACAAGGCATTGTACTTAATAAAGATGAATGTGTAGTGAAACTTTGACTTCAGTTATTAATATACAATGAGTATGTGTGTGTAGTTTTTTTTTTTGATCCTCACCCAAGGATATTTTTCCATTGATTTTAGATAGAGTGGAAGGGAGGGAGGGGGAGAAAGAGAAAGAAACATCGATGTGAGAGAGACACATCGATTGGTTGCCTCCCTAACAATTCCAAGAGGAACCAGGGATTGAACCTGCAACCTAGGTACGTGCCCTTGACTGGTATCAAACCCTAGACCCTTCAATCTGAGGGCCGATGCTGTATCCGCTGAGCCAAACCAGCCAGGGCACATATGTATTTCTTTTCAAAATTTTTTTTCCCTTTTATTGATTTTAGAGAGAGAGGAAGGAAGAGGGAAAGATAGAAACATTGATGAGAGAGAATATCAACTGGCCGCCTCCTGCATGTCCCCCACTGGGGATCTGGCCCACAACCTGCGCATGTGTCCTGACCAGGAAATGAACCAGCAACCTCTTGGTGCATGGGTCGATGCTCAACCACTGAGCCACACCAGCTGGACACATATGTATTTCTTATTGTGTGTCACTGTAAAAAGAATGAAATCACTACCAGTCTCCATAATGGCCTTTTCTCACAATTTTATCAGAACAAGACGTAAGCAGCCCAAGATACAGAATAGTAGTATGCAGAGGGAGGAAGAAAATGCTGAAGAGAAGAATTATGGCTTTTATTTTTTTTGGGAACCACAGAATACCAACCTCAAATAATTACAGAAATATTAATGGAAAAACATTTTTTAAGTGCTCATTTACCCTTCTAAATGATTGCCAATGAAAACTAGCTTGCATAATTTTCATGGTCATACTTCCCACGAACCCTAAAAAAATTAATCAAATTATTGTCAAAAAGCAGAAGATATCTGATTAAATTACACAAAAAAGCGCACAGCCATGGGAAAATATTCCTTGGAAGTACAACCTAAGGCGTAGCCTTGGTTAAAGCTGGCGGGTCAAAGGTGCTTGAGGCAAACAAAACATGAGGGGCCTGCACACTAAACTATCAATAAGCTCCAACGGTTTTTTGTTTCTAAGTGATCTAGTTTAGTTTTACAAAATAATATATTTCCTTCTTTTTTCAACTCTTAAAAAACACAGAAACGTAGGCATATCTTAATTTTCCCGTCAGGCAAAAACCAAATATACTCCATTGGGAGCAAGTGTTGCCAATGATGGATAACGCAGTTGAGTACTCATTTAAGAGGAAAGATATGGTTTTTATAACTTTTCAAGTGAGGGATCTGATTTTCAGAACAAGTCAGAAAGACTAAACAGGAAACATTTGGGACTAAAGGAAAACTTCTGGCTATCAAAGGTACTTTTTTTTCTCAGAACCAGGCGGAAGCTAAGGTGCCTACTTTGTGCTGCATCTATCTGCATATTCCAGCAACTTTGCACTTAAGTCAATCAACCTGGGGAATAGTGTAAAAACTTCAACAACATGCTGCAAGCCTAGCCGCCTTTCTATTTCACCAAACAATTAAGAAACTCATAACTTTCCAAGAAATGTATGTATAATTAATAATTAAGTCACCTTAGATTTGGCCAGTGAATTAGAACTTGAGATTCTTAAAACGCAATGAAATATAATGATGGTTTTAAATCTACTTATATGTATATCAAAGAGCAAAACATTCTTTCAAATGAACTTTTTGAGTGAGATAGTTCAGCCTTTTAGAAAAAGACTTCATTTGTTTTTGGTGTTGAAATTATGGGAAAAGGCACTATAAATGATGCATTTTTCACCTACTTCATAGCAACATAATTTTATCCAAATGCCACTGGTTTATATTCCTTGTAGCAGAAATTTCATCCTAAATACTGCGTTTCCTTAAGTAATTACCGAAGCAATTTTCATTTTTTGCTGCTTAAGAAAATAAAATTAAAACCCAAAGTTAGCGCTAGCCAGTTTGGCTCAGCAGTTAGAACATTGGCCTGTGGACCAGGGAGTCCTGGGTTTGATTCCTGCCAAGGGCAGTACCTCGGTTGCAGTTTGTCCCCCACCCAGGTTGGGGGTCATGTGGGTGGCAACCAATTGATGTGTCTCTCTCACATCGATGTTTCCGTGCCCCCCCCCCCCCAACTCTGTCTGAAGATAAATGTAAAAATATCCATGGGAGAGGATTAAAATAATAATAATAATAATAATAATAATTAAAAAACCCAAAGTTAACTCCATGATTATGTATACTTAACATGTATCAACTACAACCTATTTTAATTTCATTATAAATCTAGCACTTTAAGGTTTAAAAGATGGTAGATAAATAGCGAACAAATTCCAGTTTATTTTGTTTAACTAATTCTTTAACAGTAACAGCTGGCATTATGGTGCTGTTTCCCTTTTGTTTTTCCTTATCCTGTGTGTGTAATCTGAGTATATATACACGCGTGATTTTGTAGCCCACAGTTTAAAAGTTTAACATGTTTCTCATTTGATACATAGTAATAAACATATAGTCACCATTTATTATCTTCTAGGTGCTTAATGGTTTATATGCATCATCTTTTTATTCTTATAATTCTGTGATTTTGGTATTAAAGATTAAATAATCTGCACAGGGCTAATAAGTAAAAGAATAAAGAGATGCTCCCAAACTTAAAAAAAAAAATCATTATTTACAATGACTACATAATATTTTACCAACATGATCTATTCTAATCTACTTAACCGATCTTTGATTGTTAGACATTCAGGTTACTTCTATTTGTTTCCTATGTAATAGCCCTTACATTGCCTACATGGTCTATCTACATGTACAAATTTTATGGCTTGGTCACTGTTTCAAGGGGAAGTCCTTCAACAAGTTAACAGCTCCTTATTGAGCACCAATGTATTTAATATCTATTGTTTCCCAGCCCTTCTCCACCAGACACCAGAAAGATAAGCCCTAAGGCACCCACTGCACATAATGAATTCTCCTCTGCATCAAGAATGATGCTGGCTATGTACACCATTTTCTCACAACTTTAGTAGCTTTGGGTATCCCTAATCCTAAATTACCGTTGTACTAATTCTGATTTATACAAACTTGGAAATAAAGGCCTCTGCCAGAGGCATAGTGTTAACTCTTCAGGCTCTTGACTCATATTTTACCTGGCTCCTACAAATTCAATTCCATTTGTCAATTCCTGGGTATATAGGAAAGTAAGGAGAGGGATGTCATCCACCCTGGATGTGCTATGCAAGTGGTCCAAGGGTACTCACTTTGATGTGGGGGTTGAAGTCTTAAAGCATTCAATTAAGGAACTGTCTATGGTTTGCATAAAAGTGTCATGGACAGCCTGCCATCAGCCTTTTAAGTCTTTCTTTCTCTCCAGCAAACCACCAATCCTCTTCTGGATTAACATCACTTAAAGCAGATAATTTAGTGTTGACAACATGAACTAGGATTTCATTCCTTTTCCTAGCCTCTCACTGAGCTCTGGTAGATTTCATAGGTACTAAACTTCTCAAGGCTGCAACATGTCAAATTCCTGATGTCAAAATTTATACGTATATCTAGGTAATATTGAGCTCTTCTTACCCATTTCATTGAATTACCTATAGTTTCATTTGCTCTCATCTTGTCTCTACTCTTCTTTTTTAATTCTCACCCAAGGATATTTTTGCATTTATCTTTTGATAGAGTGGGAGGGGGAGAGAGAGAGAAACATCAACGTGAGAGAGACACACTGATTGGTTGCCACTGGCACAACCTGGGCCAGGGACAAAGTGCCACTGAGGTATGTGCCCTTAGCGGGACTCGAACCCGGGACTCCCCGCTCCACGGGCCAACGTTCTAACCGCTGAGCCAAACTGGCCAGGGCTGTCTCCACTCTTTACCTTTGACAACTTCACTCCTTTTACATTTCATAGAACATGTTGGAGTTAAAAATGTTTGCACGAACACTTGAATACTAAGCACAAATGGCAAGACATGCAGGCCACAGTGTCTTAAAAGTAGAAAACATATGCTAGGATAAAAATGACCGCAAGCCTCTTATTCCACACTGTTGGTGGAAGGCAGCACTGACATGCTTTTTCTCTAGCACCATCTTCTACGAAGATCACAGAGAAAAGAACTAGAGTCAGCCAGATAATTAAGTAGGATGAATTCAATTAATGGACTCCGGCAAGTTAATCAGAACAGTGGATCAAAGGTAACATGGAGCCCTTATGAACTGAGAATTGATAATGATAAAGCAGTGCTGGTAGTAGAACTGGCCTGGTTAAGTGGTAACCCAGGAGTTAAGTGTGGAGAGAGAGCCCAAGTCTGAGAATGTGGGCAGTGTTATTACGTCTAGTAATTCCTACAGGTGGCAAAAGGTTGGCCTGTGATTATGTGCCTGGAGAGTGGGAACCGTGTAACATTTATTTCTTATCCAGAAACACAGCAGGTCTTAAATGTCTGTGGAATGGAGAAGAAGGGGATGACTCAGAAATTTTAAAGAAACAGGCAACATGTCAAATGGTAGAGAAAACAAACAAAAAAGGCAAAAAAGGGTCTCTGCACTTCCTGGCTCTACCATTACTAGTTGTAGAATTCATTTGAATTCTGAATAATTTTTACTGAGATTAAAAGGAGACACAAAGTGTGAGTCATACCCTCTCATTTTTGTTATTTCAAGACCTTAGAAAATCTGGATAATCGATGGTGTATCTTTCAAACATGAAAATAGGCTTGGTGGTACAGAAGGTAATACAGAATACAGTACCCTATATAATCAGAATAACCTTCTTATGGGCCTAAAACATTGTAAAAATGAATTCTCCCACATGACCATGACTTTCTTCTATTTTGCTATAACTAATTTTCTGGCTTGGGGCATTACAATCACTGGAACCAGTGATTCCATTTAAATACAGTAATCTATCTTTCCAGTCTGTAGGTGATGAATGCTTGCACAAAGTCTTCTCCTTAACCAAGGGGAGCGGGAAGTGTGAGAGAAGAACACTGACCTAATCATAAACTTCCCAATGAAATTAATCTTTCCAAACTGCAAATACAAATGACCGCTTAACGGATACAGGGCTTTCTTTTGGGATGAAATGTTTTGAAACTAAGCAGAAGTGATGTTTGCACATTGTGAAATGCACTAAATGCCACGTTACTGAACACTTTAGAATGGTTAATTTTACGTGATTTCCTTCGGTTAAGAAAAACAACCAACCACTGGGTAGTACGTCGGGGGCCCAGTATGACATTCTTAAGTATCTGCGTTTGTACTCTAGCGCCCTCTGAGTGTGTCAACCTCTCACCCAGAAAACGCAGTAAACAAATCCAGAGTGGAAACCTTTATTCTTCTTTGTTCTTCGTAAAAGCTGACGGAGGCCTAGGATGGCCGCAGCACAGAAGGTGTTTTCAAAAAGCCTCTGCTGACCCCAACACCAGGAAGTAAGGTGCCCTGCAGCCTTCATCTCCGCCAGGGGGTGGGCTTTGTTGGGGACGCGCTCTCCCTGCCAATCATCGCACTTCCACTGGGTCCGGCGGCAAGCTCCCGTCCTCCCCCACATCTCAAGGGTAAATTCTGGATTCTTCTCCCAGCTATGCCCCGCCCTGGCGCGTCGACCTCTAAACTTGCGACCTCAAGCACCGCAGCCCCAGTAACCGCAGGCGACCCTGGGCTCCAGGCAGGCCGCCGCGGACCGCCGGGGGTCGCGCGCGCACACGGCCCCCTCCCCAGCACGCGGCGCGCGCGGCCTCACGGGAAACGTAGTCTCCGGACGCCGGCTGCCGCGGAGCAGCCCCTCCCGGATTTATTTTCCCAGCGGTTCGGGAAGAGGGCGTCCAGCCGCGGGGCGGACTTGGGCCCCGCCGCTCGGCCGCACCGCGCTCTGCCGCCGTGACCTCCCCTTGCGGGACGGAGGTGAACCAATGTCACGGCCCGGCCGCGAACCCCGGCCACTTACCAGGGTGAGGGCGGCCCGGGTAGGCTGCAGCTTCCTCTTGCTCACAGCCCGGACGGTGGCCCGGACTAACGAAGCTGACATCCTCGCCCTCCCGGCGCCCTGGTGCCTTGTGCCGGAGCTCGGACGCCTCAACCTCTCACCATGGACACAGGGGCGTATTGACGCCACAAGCTACGGCGCAGTGCGCCTCAGGCCCCGCCCCGCGCGGCCCACCCCTGCTGCGGCCATTGGGCAGGCCACTTGAGTGACGGGCGGAGGGAGGGCCTCGGCCACGTGACTGGCGGCGCAGCAGCGCAGAGGCCCAGGAGGAAGGTGATCACCGCCAGGGCATGTGGTCGGGAGTGGGGCAGGGGCAGGCGGAAGGACCTGTGACTTGTGGATACTGAGGCACGTCGCTCCAGGCCTTGCCCATTGGCCAGGGCGCCACCAACACTTAACACGAAGGAGTCATCCCAGCACGAAGCTGGTGCTTTCGAAGGCAGAATGATTCCGAAGCCTTAACAGAAACAGACATTTGTCTCTTGTTTGGTCCAGCTGCGTAGTTCTTAAGAAGATAGAACTACCGCAGAGTCGTACAATCAAGAGCCCCTAACAAGCGTGCTGGACTGCCTGGGATGTTGTAGGTTGATGCTAAAGCAATTTTCGGTTTAGGTGTTGATTTTGGAACCCTACCCTACTGTAAGATGTGACTGGGCAGCTCTGGATACTCAAATTTATAGCGAGACCCAATCAATAAGCTTGACTGAACAACTTTGTCAGACCTTGTTGTGGCTGCTCAGGGGTCCTGCCTTTTAATTCTGTTAATTCAGCCAATATTCCTGAGCACCAGGCACTAACAGTAAGCCTGGTAAACGGGGAGCCCAGGGAAGAATGAGGATCCTGGATGGACAAATGTGCAGCACGGCTTAGCAGATGGGAGGACATCAGGATAGAGGGGCATTTCTCGCAGAAGTGCTAGAGGTAAAGGGAAAAAAAAGGTTCTGTGGGGTGGTGCTGTCCGGATAGATTCTTGCTCAGTGTTGTTGTTGTTGTTGTTTTTTGTTTGTTTGTTTTTTCATTTATCTTCAGATAGAGTGGGAGGGAGAGGGGAAAAGAGAGAGAGAAAAACAGATGTGAGAGAGACACATCCACTGGTCCCCACCCACACGACCCCAACCAGGCCGGGGACAAACTGCAACCAAGGTACATGCCCTTAGCGGGATCCGAACCCAGGACTCTCTGGTCCATGGGCCAACGCTCTAACTGCAAAGCCAGACTGGCCAGGGCTCGCTCACTGTTTTGATGTGGAAAGAAGAATTGGTGCAGTGTGTTTTGGAGCCCAGTTTATCTTAAATACCCTGGAGCCTACAGGATTGGATAGTTTGAAATCCCGTTAGGTAGTTTTCTCTCCCTGCTACTAAAATGCAATTGCATTGACAATAAGAGGACGTGTTATTTCCCCCCTAAAGTCCGAAGCACACAGAAGAAACTGGGCTTAGGGGACAGAAGTGTGGTGGGAAACAGTACAGTCGTTCCTCGCCACTTCGCGCTTGGACATTTCGGCTTCACTCTATCGCGGTTTCAAGAACTATATAAATAAAAAATTCTATTTTGGGAAATTCGTTTATCGCGGTAGCGTCTGGAACCGATTAACCACAATAAACGAAGGCCGACTGTAGTTGGGTGATTTAGGAACAAGGTATTTTTCTTGTCATGTCCTTCCTCCTACAGATACACTGAAGATTAAATGAAAAGTCCTTAGAAGAGTGCATAGCACACTGTAGTATCCAGTAAACGTTAATTATTAATGGATATTTAAAGATGCCATATATTTTTCAAACTCTCTGACACTACAGTGGTGGATACATTGCCATTATATATTTGTCCAAACCCATAGAATGTACCACAACAAAATGAATTCTAATGTAACCTATGGACTTTCGGTGATATTGTGTAGGTTCAAGGATCCTAACAAATGTCCCACCCTGGTGCAGGATGTAAATAATGGGGGAGGTTGGCCTGTGGGGGACATAAGGACACTACTTTCTGCTCAATTTTGCTGTGAAACCAAACTGCTCTAAAAAATGAAGTTAATAAAAATGTACAAAAAGGCCCTGGCTGGGTGGCTCTGTTGGTTAGAGCATAGTCCCGATATGCCAAGGTTGCAGGTTTGATCCCTGGTCAGGGCACATACAAGAATTAGTCAGTGAATGCATAAACAAGTGGAACAAAAAAACAATGTTTCTCTCCTTTCCCCTCTAAAAATCAATTAAAAATACATAAGGAAAGTCCTTTAAAAATGTAAAAAAAAATACGTTATCATTTTTACCAATTATTGAAACAAGTTGTGTAGCACTTTACAGCTCTTTTTTATCCTCACCCGAGGACATTTTTTGTTCAGATAGAGTGGGAAGGAGAGAAAGAGAAACATCAACGTGAAAGGGACACATCGAGTGGCTGCCTCCCACAGGGCCCAACCAGGGCCGGGGACAAACTGCAACCGAGGTACATGCCCTTAGCAGGAACTGAACCCAGCCTCTCTCTGGACCGTAGGCTGACGCTCCAACACAACAGCTGAGCCAAATTGGTCAGGGCACCCTTTACAGCTTTTAAAAGAACTCTTGACCACAGTTATAGTAGCCTCACAACTCTGAGCTGTACAGGACAGGAATGTTGGTGCAGCTATTTTACAAATGATGCTTTAAACTCAAGCCTTTCAATATAATGCATCAGACACTATTTTTAAAATTTAGTTCAAAGATTTCTGATTCATTACCCTGTGTATATTAAACAACCTTCTTTCCTTTAATATACACTAGTCAACTTTTAATGTGGTTAGGTGTTTTGCATGTTAAGTATTAAGTCACAAAATCTACTTGTCAGTGGTTCGGTAATACCTAATGTTACTTGAAACTGGCACAGGTCCCTTAAATTGGTGTTAGAAGAGTTTCCATAACTATAAGAAACATGTGCGTCCTTTATCTCAGAGCAGCAGCTGTTCTGTGGTGTCGAAATGAGGTGAGGGTGGGAACTGGTTGAAGGAGATTGCAAGCTGTAACCGTTTTTAGATTTCCATTAATAGGTTAAAACTTTTAACAGGGAATCGTTCAAGACTGCACCCCAGGATTTAGTTTCATGGTTCCAGACATTTTAAAATGTCTTTTCCTAGTAAGATCTCAACTGATCCTCACTACAATGTGGAAGAATAGGTATGATTTCCATTTTATACTCAAGGAAACAACTGCCAACAGGTTAGGGGGAGTGCCACACTCTTAACTGGAAAACTGGCAGAGCCAGACCCACATGGTCCAGAATTTCACACAGTGAAGTTTGCTCAAGTCTTGACTGCTGTCCATACACACCTGCTTTCAAAGAAAAAAGCATGGAGCACAGTTTTAGTTTTATGGGGGGTTGTTAACTTCTCTATTTGCTTTTCAACTTTTTTTTGCCTATAACACTATGAACCTTTTGACCTAGCTACCCACATATTTTTCTACTTGAGAAATATTAAAAAAAACCCAAAACATTTGTGAAATACCTTTTAAGATGAAAAAATAAACTGCTTATCTCAGAACATTTAAATAACACCTCGAAGTGTGCACACTTTTGACATTGTACATACTGAGCAACAGATTAATAAGTTTGATTGGGGCTATAAAAATGGATTTCATATATTTGTTTTTCCCTGAAAGAAAAAAGAACCCCAGTAATGGGCATTTGTAGAGCCTGTTAACTGAGACAGGTCAGCTGCATTCAAAAGATAGCTATGCCCTGGGAACTGGACATGGTGTGGAGCAGATATATCTGTCCCCCAGGGGCACTGAGAGGGTCTGTACCAAATAAAGGGAACAGAGAACCAAAGGCAATCTATTCTCCAGGTCTGCTGGCAAATATTGGTCACTGTCCCACTAATGGATCCAGTGGGAGGGAATTAAAATAAAAAATGTAATATAGTAGGTAGAATCTACTTTGGAAATCAGAATAGAATGCAGGAAACTAACATCCCAAAAAGGATGTAAGAAAACATGGTTTCTATGAAAAGGAAGACAATAAAAATAAACTAAAATGAGAAGAAAAGGAGGGTGGGTAAAGTCAGTCAAGAAAATCAGAAGTGAAATGACAAAATTTGTTAGAAACAGTACACAGAATGACACTGAAAATCAAGCCAGTCTTCTGGAGATTAAATTTGAGACATTTTCCTAGCATGAAGGAAAACGATGAGAGAGGAATATTAAGACAAAAGTATGTTTTTAAAAATCTTCATCTGAGGATATTTTTTCATTTATCTTCAGATAGATTGGGAGGGAGGGAGAGAGAGAAACATCGACATGAGAGAGACACATCGACTGGTTGCCTCCCTCATGACCCTGACCAGGGCCAGGGGCCAAACCGCAACCAAGGTACGTGACCTTGACTGGAATCAAACCCAGGACTCTGGTCCAAAGGCTGATGCTCAAATTGCTGAGCCAAACTGGTCAGGGCAAGACAAACGTGAGAGGGAAAAATTAAGACCACAGATACTTTCTCAAATTGATTAAATAAAAAACTTGGGTAGGGAGATACACTGGATTCAATTTTGTTTAAGACAAAAGTTACTGGGATAAATAAACATGGAAGTACCCAAGCAGAAAAATAAAATCTACAAGGGAACAAAAAGGCTGGCCTCAGTCTTCTGCTATAATGCCAGGAGAGAGCGTCAACAGGCTTTGCACAAAAAGTGTGATAAGAACTGTATACCCAGTCAAGTTGACTTGCGTGCATGAAGGGCAAGAAAGGAACTCAAAAGAGCAGCAGCTGAGGAAAGCCATGTAGAGCAAGCAGAGTTTCAGCCCAGACTGCATAATTCACTTACATTTGTGTTCATTCAAACTGAGTGAGCAATGATCATGAATTCTTTCTACCACAACTTCCAATTCTGAAGTTAATTTTTATATGATTCTTCTTTAGCTGGAATGTTTTCAAGTAATTTGTTTAAAAGAAGGGCCAAAGGTGTGTGTTTTTTGAGTTCTCTCTTCTCTGGGAACGCTTGCCCAGCAAGCACCCCCTGCATCTCTACGTATTCGTCCCCCTACGTACTGTGCCTCTTTGCGCCCGCCCAGTGCATGCCACAGTGGGTATCAATGAACACCAGGTTGCATGAGCACAAATGAAGGGAGCACGAGATAAAGAGGCACGGATCTGTACTGCCCATACACACCCTTCATCTACTTTCCTCATAAAGCTAGGATTCTCACTAGAAAGGGATGTGGATACAATTACTGGTCAAAATTTTGCTTTTATTTCACAATCAAATTGAAGCATAGTTCTGACCATGTACTACTTCTGAAGGGCTTGTGAAGTTACAGAAACATTTCCATAAGGGTTCCAGTCAGACTCAAAATGACACCAACCAAACTTGTGATTGGTAGAGATGGCCTCTTTAATCTCCAGGGATTTTTTAAAGTTCTCCACCCTAATTTCTGAATATCATAAAAATTGAAAAGAACTTTTATTTGTCATTTTTCCTTTGAAAATGTTTTTAGCAGCAAACAGGACTACTTGTTTTCCTCACTTCATTTTTATGAGCATAGGAGTAATATGTCAACTTAATTAGAATTAGAGAGGGGGGAAAAACAAAAAGCCCTTCATTGGCATTGCTCATCCATGGAAGACACATAAACAGATAATTATGTTCATGTTATCACTTCTACAAATATCAATAAAGTAAGGTTTGTAAATTGTAAATACAGTAGTAGCAGTTCACACATATTTGACACACTTTCACACAGGATTCAGTAAACAACAATAAATATAATTTCCCCTCTTTAAAACAAAAAAGGGATTTACAGGAAAGAAAGGATTAATTTACTTGGAGTTTATCAGCACACCATTTTAGTGTGTTTTGAAAGAATTAAAAACCACGAAATTGTATTCACTGAATACTGGCCCATAGTTACATTTTTTTTTTTTTTAAAACCTGGTTTAAATACATACATCATGGCTTTCTATTAAAATCCTTAAATCTATGAGGATTTGTGGTACATAAGACTACATTAAAATTTTTTCCTTATTATGAATTTCATTCAGTTAAAAAAAAATCTGACATTTTCATTAAATGTTAAGTTGATCTATGCTTCTGAGTCCGGTAAAATGAACCTAATTTTCAAAGTGATTAGGAACGCCTGAGTGGCCATGTAGAACGTTGCCTTTCCCTTCCCTCATGATTCCTGCTGGGTCCTCTTCGCTGAGGCTTTTCCCTGAGTCATATATTTACTGGAAAGGCTACCTAGAGGAGAGGAAGAAACAAAACACAACATAAATAAAGTAAGCCTCACTTCATCGCACAATCCGTAACATCACTTCTTACTGTTAATTATTCATAGAAACTTTTCACACTAGAAATGGTCACTTGTTTCGACTTAAGTAATTAGGCTAGAAATAGAAAAGTCTACAGTATATGGAACATGATCTATCAAACATAAGCCTAGTCAAGTCTTTTTAAATGCAGACAGGTTGTTAGAGTGACATCATTTCAGTACAGTTTCAGCAGTGATTACTAATAAAAACCACACCACAGAACAGTTAACAATATATGCTATGACTAAACAGTCTGACTTCTGGGTACACAAACCCTACAGAATCCCTCACCTATGCTCAAGGACACTCACACAAGAATGTTCACAACACTGTTCATAACAGCAAAAAAACAGATGCAATCTAAGTGCCCATGTATGTACAAGGTAATAGATACATACAATATTCTGCATTCATATGATGGAATCCTATATAAAAAAAAACACCCTAAATCTATGCACAGCAATATGTATAAAATTTAAAAATCATTTTGTTAAATAGATATGAAAAAGTAGGTTGTAGATCATTTTATATAGCATGCTATGTCATTTAAATTTTAAAATTCACCAAGGATAGTATGTTATGTAAGAGCTTTCAAGAAGGGAAGGGTTCCTGAACTCATAATACTGGATGCCTCTGGGATGGAGGGGGACATGACTGTCAGAATGGACCTGGGGTGGTAGTGAAAGGGCACTTTCACTATTTTAATCATTTACTAAAAGAAGAGACTGAAATGTGAAAAAAATGCCAATTCTCTAGTAGATGGATAGTTTTTATGTGTATCTTTTTATATTTTCCCTAAAGTGTTAAGAAACCATTCTTTTCTAATGGTACTAATAGTCATATTACTGTATCACATAAACATGTAACCCCCTATATATAAAAATAAATCTCAGCCTACCTGAGGATACTGCAAAACTAATAGAAACAAAATATAAATGAACTTTAATGTAATCTGGGGGAACAACATGAAATTCATAAAATTGTGCAAGCATGACTTGAAACTACCCAAAAGTTTGCTTGAGATCAAACTACTAAAAGAAAGAAACAAGCATCTGTACGGCAAAACAAATCATAAATGAGGTTGAAAGAATAAATAAACTGGGGGTAAAGGTGGTGAAGGATGTTGTAACACATTTGACAAAGCATGAATGAATTTCTACGTAAAAAGAACTAAAACCAAAGAGGACTACTCTAATAAGAAGTGCAGAGGTAGAACATGAAGAAATACAAATGCAAATATGTAAAAAGTGTTAGGGTTCAATGGTAATAATAGAAATTCAAGCAGACTAACGAAAAAGACTATTGTAATGAAGTGAGTGAGTAGGAAACAGATTGTGAATGACTCGCTGGGATTGCCAATAATCATGAGTTGGCATTATTGGTCCCACTATTCAAATGTACATATTTTTAAACCCATCATTCATTCTAACTAGGAATTTATCTTGAGGTTATATATACCCAAACAAGTATACAAATATTCTTTATAGTGTTTTATGTACAGTGATCTTCAAACCTGGGTATATGTATTCCTGAGTTGACTTAAGACAAGTGGGGAAAGAGTGTTAAAAGAATTGACCTTACAGTTTCTATCTGAATTCTGAGAATGCCTTCATAGCCAAGCCCTTTGGCAGGTTCCTAGGAATCACACCAACTTTACTTTCCAACTCCCCCTTCACAATTCTTCTCTTACTGTATTTGCCCATTTCCTAGGGTGAGATCACTGTACTATAAAAGACAGGCATATCTCCAAACCAACCAAATCTTAATGTGGTACACTGCCCTGGAGTGAAAAGACCTGGAGAGGTAAGAAGGCAAACATGATGGTGTGTGATAAATGCAAATGCCTCTAATAAAAATACAAATTTTTGGTTTTTGTAAAATTACATTAATAATTGATAATACCATAAATAATTTCTGATGCTACATTACATTGTGATTTTTGGTCAGTGAATGAAAAAGGAGTCACTGTTGTAACACATCTTCCATTCCCAAACTTTTAAAATAATTTCTATTATTTTTAATTTGCTATCAGTGAAGACTACTGAGGTTTCTAAATATTTACCAACCATTAAAACAACAACAACAAAAAGAAATAGTAATAATAAGGAACAATGTTTTCATTCTTGCAATAAGCAGTATTGGTCCAAAGACAGATAAATGCACTGGGAGAAATACCATCTATTTCATTACACGACAACCATTTTTAGTATGTAAACATAAAAAGTAATTTAAAAAATTTTTTTATTTATCTTTAGAGGGAGGAAGTGAGAGGGAGAGACAGATAGAAACATCGATGAGAGGGAAACATCGATCGGCTGCCTCCTGCATGCCCCCTATTGGGGATGGAGCCTGCAACCCTGGCATGTGTCCTGACTGGGAATTGAACCTTCGACCTCTTTCTTGGTGCATGGGTTGATGCTCAACCACTGAGTCACACTGGCTGGGCCATAAAAAGTTAATTTTAAACCTAAATTTGCAACATTTGCTTTGATCAATTGTATTGTTCTAATAACTGTAAAAACAACTTAGAAGAAAATTTTACACTTTTGAGACTTAAAAGCTTACAATTCCAATTTACATACATATTTTTTGTTGCAGATAAGTATGATAGGCTAATCAATAAAGTGCTTGAAATATATGATAAAAATGTATCATTTTGCCTTGGCCGGTGTGGTTCAGTTGGTTGAGTGTTATGCCAGGCACCATAAGGTCAATTATTCTTTTCCTGGTCAGGGCACATGCTGCCTAGGTTGTGGGCTCGATCCCAGTGGGGGGGTGTAGGAGGCAGCCAATCAATGTCTCATTGATGTTTCTCTCTCTCTACATCCCCCCCACTCTCAAATCAATAAAAACATATTTTAAAAAATATATCATCTTAAAATAAAATTCCGTGGAAGTGAAACAAAGGTACTCAAGGAGAAAAAGAAAATGATGTAAAGTTTCTGCAATAATATTTGTATTTCATTTGATACATTTAAGGCTGATTTAGAAGTTGTATTTTATAATGCTAATATTCTTAATCCGCGCCCCCCACCAAAATTATAAGCTTTGCAACTATGAAGAAAAATTTTGTGTCAACTTAAAAATATACAAGGAGATATACAGATCTTCAATATTATGGGGAAGAGTATGTAAGCAATAAGGTTTTGAAGACATTCATATATCATATATTTGAAAATAGTCCCTTAATTGGGAACGATTAAATAATATTCATATACTGGAATATCAAGAATACTGGATATTGAAAGGGTGATCTAAATTCACAGATAATAAGCTCTCTCCATACTGTTTTTAAAAATGCAATTCTATTAAATTCACTATCATAAATAGCACTTTAAAAAAATAAGTTTTAACATTCTGGTCAAGGAAATAAGTTGTATAAATATACATCATCATGAGGGAAAAAAGATACCCATTAATTTCTTTTCTTTCCTTTCCTTTTTTTTTTTTTTTTATCCTCACCCGAGGACATTTTTCCATTTTTTGTTCAGGTAGAGTGGGAGGGAGAGAGAGGAACAGAGAGAGAGAGAAACATCGATGTGAAAGGAACACATCGAGTAGCTGCCAACCGCACAACCGACCAGGGCCGGGGACAAACTGCAACCGAGGTACGTGCCCTTAGCGGGAACCGAACCCAGGTCTCTCCAGACCGCAGGCCGACGCTGTAACTGCTGAGCCAAACTGTTCAGGGCCCCATTAATTTCTTTATAGCATCTTTAATTTTTAAGATTTCATGGAATTAAAATGGAATAAATGAAGAGCCAGTTTCTTTAGAAAAGTGGTTTTCTTTACAAAAATGAGGGAGGATTAAGGATCAGAAATGTTAGTTTCTTGAGATTTTCATACTAAATAAATTGTTATATATAATTATGCCAGAGTAATTAACTTATGCATAAAAATCAGTTTATAACTGCAATTCTCTAATCTCTACATTTTCATTTTATAAAGAAATTCCATTATATATTTGTCCTATAAGTTAAATAAATTATAGCAAGGTTGGTATTTCCTGTTAATCCCAGTAACAAGACTAGAGACAGTTTATTGAGTGGTATGTGCCAGATGCTGTGCTTTACATATATGAAATTAATCCTTACTGCCCTGTAGGTGTTAGCCCCAATTGATAAGGAAACTGAGTCACAGAGAGGTTTGAAACTTGCTGAGGGTAATGCAGCCAGTAAATGGTTGGGCTGGATTTTAAACTCAAGTATGTCTGACTTTAGAAGCTCACATTCTTAACCATTCTGCACTTTATTGTTCCTTCAAAATGAGTATACCTCTAATCAGTACAATTTACTGGACATCTAATGTACTGTGATGGCCGTGTGTATGTGGGCAAGGGAGGAAACAATGAAGAGCAAGGAAATTCGTGACATTTTCTATTCACTACTGTCTCATGTAGGAGTTAATAACTATATGTAACCTAGTGGAAAGGAGTGGAGGAAGGTATTAGGAGAGAAAAGGGAACTTGGTTTACTACAAACTGGGTGCATCATTTCCGCACCCAGTGAGACAGATGGTGCTACTGCAATTTTAGAGATGAGACATCTGGAGCTCAGAGAAGCTAACCTTTTGCCTAAGGTTAATACAGTCCACATGCAAATGCAGGGGCTGTCCACACCAACAGATTCTGGTTAGAAGGAAGAGCTTTGGGGAAACTTAATACTACTTATAGTCAGACACCTTTATAACAATATAGATAATTTGGGTAAATTTATCAAGGATAAATTTGACAGTTTTAACAGCTATCATATACTTATGTGAAGAGTTTAGTTTATTGGAAAGGATAGATTTTCACCACAAAAAACTTTTTTTTCCCTGGTAGTGTACTAATTTTTTTCCTGTAGTACATTTAAGTTTTATAGTTGTTCAAAAGATTTATAAATGTCAGTTTCTTACTTAGAAGATGATCACAGAAATCTTAACTTACTG